AAAAAAAAGATGAAGAATTTTTATCAAAAGATTGGATTTATATTGAGAGAAATAGAAAGAGAACTAATTAAATCATTTCATGACTGAAGTCATTCTATCATACACTGGCTATAGAAAAGGAGATAAATCACCTAGCGTCTGGATACTCACTAAGGACAACATTTATTTCTATAGTAGTTACTCTGATGTAAATAAAAAAAATCCATTGTCAACTATAAATATTAAGTCAATAACTAGTAATAATATTAAACAAGAAACTTCAAACAAATTTCTTCTTCAAATTAATGAATCAACAAGAACAACAGGATTATATGGTGATTATAAAACCCTTTCATATTGGCTTCAAGCAATTAATTTTGTCATTCAAGATTTAGTTCAAAACAGACAAGAACTTGAATTTTTATTGTCATCTCAAATAGAAGCTCCATTACAATCTAAAACATCACCACCACAACCAAAGAAAGAAACACCTTCTTTAATGAAATCTACTGGTGGTTCAAGAAAACCACCTCCCTCTAGTATTTCAGAGCATCAACATAAAGAAGTTCAACCTTCAAGTCATATTGTTAGTAATGGAAATAAACAATTGTTATTAGATAAATGTCCAACAGAAAATTTAAACCAAAAAGCAATGAGACAAACAGTCTGTCTAGAATTTATGGAAAATACATTAGGAAAGAAAATTAAAATGTCAGAACTCAAAGAAGGAAATTTGTTTGTAGAATTATTTGAAAAGTTATCACAAACTAAATTACAAATAAACCCAAATGCAATTGAAATTGTTGATAAGATTCATAATATTGGAACAATTATTGCTAATACCGTCAAATTATGTAAAGTAAGTATACTGATTGATCCAATGGATATTGTGAGAGGGAATGAAACAGAAATTATTAAATTTATTATGTCACTTTTTGAATCTTTTATATTAAACAAAGTAAAAGTACAAAAGAGTGAAGGAATGGAAGGATTAATGATGTGGGTTAATGCATTATTAGATGGAAGTGGAATTGAAGTAGAAGATTTTAGTTCAACATTCCGAGATGGAAGGGCATTTGCTTATATTATTAGTAAAAGAAGACCAGATTTACTTGATCCAAAATATCTTTCAAACGTTTGTTTAATTATTATTGTTATTTTAAAAAAAAATTATGAAATAAAGAAAATTTATTTAAATAGACTTCTTCAATTAATTATTCTTTTGTTGCAAAAGCATTGAATAAATGTAGATGTAAAATTATTCCAGAAGAAGTATATATGGATGATGCTGATGAAAGTTCTGTAATCATGATTTTAACTTCCATGATGATTTGTCTTGGATAATAAGATAATAAGCGTTTTTATTTTAGCAACGCTTTTTTATTCTTTAATTAGTAAATAACCAAATAAAAAATGAATTGATTTCTTTAACACTATTTAATTAAATTGTTGCATTTGTTTCTTTAATAACTTAACTGCCATTTTATGTTTTTTACTATTTTCATGACTTTTTAATTGATTTTCACTTTTAAAGGTTTTTTCACAAACTACACAACACCATTCAGTAACTTCTTCTATTTGGTCATCTTGTATATCATTTTGATTTTGATCAATGTCAGTATTATTTCCTGAATAATACCTTGAAATACGTTCAATCTCAGCTGCTTCTTCTTGTGAAATTTCAAATTGTTCTCCAATTAATTCTTGTTTTCTTTTCATTTCCTCTTCTCTTCTTTTACGTTCAGCTTCTTTCAATTCTATTTGTTTTTCACGTTCTTCTTTTCTTCTTATTAATTCAGCTTTGACTAATTCCCATCGTGGATCCATTCGTTGAACAAAATTAACAAGTTGTCTTATGTTTTGTGTTCGTTCTGAACGGAGTTTTTCCTTGATTTTTTGATTTTCTTTTTCCCACATTCTTCTAACTGTTCTATTTGGTGCTTCAGAAAGTTCATTTGGCATTTTGTTCCAAAATTCTAATTGACATTTAAAATGAGTCCACTCTTCATAAAACCCTTTAACTTCTTGAATTGTACTTTTACTTGTTCCAAATGACATTAATTTTTTTCCTCCACCTTCCTCTTCAAGAATTGAGTTAAATAAATTATTATAAATTGTATAAAACCCATTTTCACTTTCATCATACTCATCAAAGCAATCGCTGTTAAAATATTCATACAAGTTAATTACTGTTTCATCTGCTCTATTTAATCCTGCTAATATCAAATCACGGTGTTGGTCATACCATTGTCGTTCATTAGGATCTTTCAATACTCCATATGCAGCAACTAATTCTTGAAAATTTTTTTGTGCTTCCTCAGGATCAACATCAATTAGTTTATCAGGATGTAATTTTAGTGCTAATTTTCGGTATGCCTTTTTAATTTCTTCATCGGTAGCAGTTGAGTCAACTCCAAGAACTTCATAATAATCCCTTCTTTGTTTTGACATGAGGTAATGTATTTAATTAGTTATTGAGTTTTGTGTTTCTTAAAGGGTTTTAGTGGAAGTTATTTCCCAATAATGATATGATTCTATTGAAAATTTTATTGTATGAAATGGTCAACATATTCAACCCTAATTGAGGAATATGAAAATACATAAATTAAACATAAGTCAAATCTATATCGTCATTATTCTACTGTTTTTGTCATTCTTTATCATGCGACTTTCTACTACCAACCAATTAGATAATTTGTGTATTTGTAAAACCAATTTTAGTACTTATTTTATATTATTCATGGTGTGTTATTATTTTATTGGTTGTTATTTTTT